AGAGAGAAGGCAAGTGACACAAGTTTGTGCAGTTTTGTTGATTCTGATACAGTGACAAGTTGTGTAAGAAGCTGACAGTTCATTATATAGTACTACTTTTGGGGTATTCTTACTGTATCTGCTTTACAAAGAGAACTCTTAACTTTGGTACTGAGGCTGGCAAAAAGTTTGTGGAGCCAATTTGTCACAATTGTGTAAATATGCTAAAGCTCTCTGGCCTTACAGAATTATATTTAATCTTACACCCACAGAAAACCTGTTTGCAATCGCTGAAGTTTCACAAGTGCAACTGTAAATAATGCTTGCAAACCTGTATCATTAATGAAGGGAATCTGAAAATCAAAAATGAGACCTTTGACTTTTATGTGCACTGGTAGAACTAATTGTAATTACATGACTGTGGAAAATATGGCAATCTTTGCCTAGTCTTAAATGCTAATTCTGTTTAATGTTGCTTCTGAACAAGCCCTGCAAGTAATTTATTCCATCTTTCTCTCAATGCAGAAATGGTTCATATAGTATTACCTTTTTTAGTATCTCTTTCAGTTTGTTTTTTTTTTTCTTTTAATCTAGAAACACTTGTGGACTACTTCTCTTGGAATATTATTAAATTATGTCTTTTTATCTAGGTTTTTTAAGTTCCTAAGATTCATCCTCTTGCTTCTGACTACAGTTCTTTTCATACTGCATAAAAACTTTGTAATGCTTTAATGAAAATTCTTAGAATATTTTTGGTATAATTATATGAAGAATTGCTTTGTGAGGCCTATTCGAGCCCTCAGTGTGCCCCTGTCAGGATAAATATGGTCTCTGCTTATTATTGTAGTGGAGAGTGCCATCTTTACTCTAGTGTTTCTGTTGCCTCCTTCAGGAATCCTAGGCTTTTGAGATTAGAGGGGAAGTCTGGAGGAAGGCTTTGGTGGAGGAGAAACAGGTTAGGCAGAGCTAAAGCTGCCCATACATAACTCCATGGGGCCTGATGGGATGCACCTAAGAGGCCAGTGTTATTGCAGGGCCATCGTCTACTGTCTTGATACTGTCTTGATTCATGATGTTTGGGAGAGGTTCACAAAGGCTAGAAGAAAGCAGATGTCTCTCCTATGTTCAAGACGGGCAAGGAGCATGTGGGGAACTGTAGTTTGATCAGCCTCACCTCAGTCCCTTGGAAGGTGGATGAAGCCTTGCTGAAGTCAAGGCAGATAACATCCACTGCTCTCCCCTTATTGATCCATCCTCCATGCCATCATAGAAAACTGTCCTTTTACAGGAGCATACCTTCTAACTCTGTGGTTCTATCCAAGGCTTGTCAAAGCATCTTTTTCCTGAAGACAGTTCTTTTAAATGCAGAATATTCCATTCAGAAACTATTTCTTTCCCTTACAGGTTTCATCTGTTAGAATCAGCATGTTTTCTGATGCAGGCTGCTGACTAGAACATCCGCTTCATATCCCAGCGGATGACCTCTCTAAATTTATCAATCCCAGTTCTAATGAAGTGACCTGTTTAAAATAGATCTCTGCTAGTATATGTTTTCATCTCTTCAGTGTTTTAAACTTTGAAGTGAATCCGTTCATGTGGTTTTCCAGTCAGATTTTTATGAAAAATGCTGGTGCTTCAGCCCAGTGTTGGAAACTCATTTTGATTAAAATGATTTTAAATATAAGTCTCTTTATGGTGCTTATTTGTACTTGGTTCAGTATTTGATTCTCAGGGTTAGCACCCCAGCCTAGCTGTGCTATTCATTCCAAAGCTGAGCTGCACACAGCTCGATAGCTTTTCCGTTATGCTCTGACCACCCAGGAATGGAGCAAATCGCTGCTTTCCTGGTTCAGCTTTGCAATTATACTGGGGGGAGGTGGAGAGTATGCCTGTGTCTGATAATTCAGAAAAGCTGCCATTAAAGGATAATCACTCCACATAATCTTTTGCATTCTACTGAATACTTACACGCTGGTTACTACTAAACTGCATGCTATTTCTGTGGAGGAAAAAAGGAAAAAAGAATTACAAACCTGATTGGGCCTTTAAGATTTTTTTTTTTTTTTTTAAATACAGTAGCTTCACCTTTTAGGGCTGTTTGCCCACACTCCTGTTGTTGTACTTACCTGGTTGGGGTTTTTTAAAGCAAGTATGTGTTAGTTGAAAATGTCTATTTTCTCTGCTTTAAAAAGCAATTCAGTAATTCCTTAGAACAGCCAATGAGACAGGGAAGTTCAGAAAGGATATTGTTTACTGAAGAGGGCTGCTGATCAGTTCCTGTGACATAAATTGTAAACCTCTACTGAAGTTCTTAGTTTCTGCAAATGTGAGAAGATGCAGATAGTTGATATCATTCTACGTGCACTGAAGGTCACTTGTATGTCACTAGCTTTAATAGTGAAGTTGTGGAATTTTGGTGCCCTAGCACATGTTCTTAAAATAGGTTATAGTTAATTAAAATTACGGTCCTTATTGCAGATGGTCATTAAACACTGGCCTAATGTTATATTGTACTCATCCTCCCTGATGAGCAGAAAGTCTTTCATAGAATCATAGAATGAACCAGGTTGGAAAAGACCTTTAAGGTCATCAAGTCCAACCGTTACCCCAGGACTGCCAAGGCCACCACTAAACCATGTCACTTCCATTGAAAAAAATGCAAACTCTACTTTCCTGAGCATGTAAATGGTTTATAGGGTTGCTTGTCCCCGCTGCGTGTTTTGTAGAGCAGCAGTGAGAGGCAATTGCTGTTTTGTTAGTAACTCTTTGAAAGGCATGAAAAAAGCTTATACAGCAGGAAAGAAAGAAGGATTTCTGTCCCTGACTGAATGTGCTGTCATGGGGAAAGAAAATTCTTAATATGTGATTTAGGCTGCAAACTTGTTAATGCGCAATTTGTTTATTTTCTGATGCTGTGAGCAGCTGAGGTTAGCAGCTGTTACATGTTCACTTGAAAGCATCCTACCTCTCTCTCACTCGTGTGCCCCCTCCCTCCTGCTCCCGTCCTGGATCCACCAGGATATCCTTGGAGAAACAGCAGCATCATTTCCCAGTTGGAGCTGTGTGCAGTGAAGCTCACTGATCTCGGTGCCATGCGACTGGAAAAGCAGGGAACAGATTGACATCTGGTGCACACTCTCCAACTCGATAGCCAAAAAAAAAAAAAAAAAAAGGGGGTGGGAGTGAGGAGGGGAGGTTCCCTGGCTTTTTTCCTAGCACTGTTAATTCCTGCTGGAGCCTGTTTGCCTCCAGCTCAGTTCATGGCAGTAACAGAAGCAGCAGTGCTTATCCACCAGCTCACTGCTCTCAATGAGGTCAAGCTGGATCAAAGGGAAGCCTCCTGTGGAAGCATCTACTGTAAGTTCTGCTACTGCTTTTTCCACACTCCCCCCAAATGAATTGTAGCCTGTACAGTTGAGCCAGGCTTCAGTGCTTTATGTCTCCCTGGCTGATAATTTTGTATGAGGTTGTCAGGTTTCATGTTAATTGAACTTGTCAGTAAGGTGCCTGTTGGATAATAATACTGTGCATTTTGGGAGGAAAAGGCTTATTGTTCTATCCTGTTATTTTCTGAGGGATGGGAGGAAGAAAGTGTGCTTTTGTCCTTTTGAAGAGCTCCAAGCTGTTGAGGTGACAGCAGCTCACCAGATTTTGTTTTATGTAATCTACGTGTTCTACTTTCTAAATAAAGTAATACAAAATGTCTTTCAAATGTTCTTTGCTTCTACCAAATAGCTATTCTCAAAAGAATAGCTACCTAAACATTTATTTAATTACAAAAAATAAAGGGAGAAAGAGGAAATACTTCATTGAAATCTTGGAGTCATCTGTAGTAACTACATTTCAGAGACACTGTCCTTGCACAAGCTGCTGTTCACCTGAGGGGTCTCTGATGTGATTATTCAGAAATATTTCTTTGAAACCCGATTCTGAGTATAAGCTGGTTTGAGTGAAACTTTTCAGTTGCAAAGACTTTCACAGTGAGATGAAAAATTTCTTATTTCATGTAATGAAATAGCTGGTTCTGCAGAAGTGCTGTTCAGCGTGAAGGAATGCTAACTTCTGCAGGTAGTGGTGTCTCACTGCATGGAATCCTGGGGCAGTAACGAAATGCTGGGCTGTAAATTTTTCAGCTACATAACCCAACTTTTTATACTACAAAAAGATTACCTGGATACATACCTGGAAGGTTTGCAGAATGGTTTCAATGGATTGAACAAAATAACTGCCACCTGTTGGATTACTGTTAATAATATATTGTAAACCCTGAGGAGAAATGAAATAAAATATCACAAATTGTTATTGCTTTCTGCTGTAAAGTTCCTTGTAAAGGAGGACGACATGATGTCTCCTTGTAAAGGAGGATGTCCTAATCTGCAGCTTGTGTCTGAAAACTGGGTTGTTACTGGCGTTATGGTGCAGTGAAGCGGCCTAGTGTTACAAATGACAAATGTCATAAAGACTCACAGTATTGCTTTACCCCCCCAAAATCTAATGTCTTTGGGTTTGTTGGGTTTTTTTTCCCAATGATAGTATTCCTCTTAATCTCCTTCAAGAATAGTCTTAGCTTTCTTAGATACCTAACTTCAATATTGAGTAGAAGAAAGGGGGGAAAAATAGTGTGAAATCAGGTCATGCAACATTTAGGTATGAATAGCTGCTGGAGAGATTTGTGAAACAATGTCTTGAAGACTCATTTACAACTGTATTTCTGTTTAATAAATAGAAGACCTGTTACTTTAAAATGCTGTGGTTTTTGTTTGGCATCACTGCAATATAATGTGAGAAGATAATGTTAGGTATCAGCATCTGATACCTAACCACTCGCATTTTTCGGATGGGATCAAAAAGCTCTATGAATCCATCACTGGATTTTTTTATTTTTGAATTTATACCTTTTCTTGGTGTAACAGAAGCTGTCTTTGGTTCCTTTGAGACAGCTCTGTTTTTAAACATATATAATAGGAAGAAAACCATACTGTATCTTTTTGTCCAGATGGTGATGTTCCTCTTAATTTCAGCATTCAGCTTGTGAGTTGATCGTAGTTGAAGATGAAATGACAGATACTGAAGACAATGAAGAGGAGGATTTAGGAGTCATGGATGATCAACGTAGTGTAATTCTTCATCTCATCTCCCAACTCAAACTTGGCATGGACCTTACCAGGGTATGGATACTGCTTCTCTCTTACAATTGTTCATTATTTCTTTTTCCTCTCATCCTTCTGTTTTTGTGTATGTGTGCACGTGCGTGATTCCTGCAACCATGTTTTGCCCCTGTGGACAAGGAAGTTTGCCTCTTTTATAACGGTTTGGTTCCAAGCAGGTATAGAGGGCTGTCTCCTGCAGGGTTTCACAGAAAGTGACCACATCAGATTTTATAGGGTTGGGGGAAGAGAAAGAAAAAAAAGAAATAAAATCCCCTGAACCTCTTCCTTGATTTTATTGTAAGTCTTTCAAAGCAACCGTATGTCGTGTACGTATCTCACATGTATAATAAGTCCAGGTGCATTGAGTGTTTGAGGAAGAATAATGCAATGGTATGCGTGGAGGTGCATGCTCAAGTTACTGTTTTGTGGAGAGGATCCTATTTAATTATTTGGCAGCTTAAAAAAACACATGATGATAAAGAAATCATAGTCTTCAATGTATCACTGTTTTTGTCTGTGTTAAACTGCTCACCAGTTTAACCTTCTGTGCATCCATCTGATCCTGTAACCAGCATTGTTAAGAACTTCTCTATACTGATGTGATCAAAGAAATTATGGTGTCTGAGAAATTCCTCATAAGTCCTTAGAGTTTTGGAAATGAGGTAGAGGTTCTGGAAGCAGGGAATTCCTCTTTCTGAATAATCCTGTATTCCAGTGATACCTTCCCATGGGCTTAATAAGTAATCAAATGGAGAATACAGAATCAAAGGGAATACAGAATTCCCTTTCCTTCCACACAAGTTTTCTACATAACCCCCTCCCTTTCCCCTACCACCCCTCCCCAGTAAGCCCCCTTTAATCCCCTTCCCACAGATAAGAAGAGCTCCTTCTGATGCACCTTCCACAAATAAAAAATTCTGGAATCTCCAGGGAATTTCCCCTGTGCATGTAGTAGCTTTGCAGGAGATTCTTCTCAGGGGCATTTTGCTTTTCTGAGGAGTTCATCTGCTTTCCTTTTGATCTTACATATTAATCAGAATCTATTTTTACCATCACTTTCTTACTAAATAAGGCTTTCTCAATGTAGTCTTTTCTCCTTCCTCTGGAACAACTGACAGTATTTAAATACATTTTTAAGACTGAGCAATCCTGTGATCTGTTGCTATGTATAGCTATTGAAACTGCACAGAAATTAATGTTTTGTTCTAAATAGAACAGAAGTTTCATCATTTTATTTGTGGATAGTTTATACCTGTCACTCGTTAGTATGTCTGGGGTTACAGTTAATTTTTGTTTTTGTTTTTCTTACGTTCCTTTTTTTTCATAGCTCTTCCTCTTTTCTGTGTGGGTTTGCTAAGGTTGCGGGAGTCCATAATGTTTAAACTAGATCAAGATTCATTACCTGTTGTTCTTTTGTCTTCAAAGCATTTTGTCTTTGGTAATGAACAAGATTTTTCTTCCTTGTGTCATCTTTTTGTCGTGGCAGAGGAGGCAAAATCCCAAAGACACAGGGTTAATGTAAATAAGAGAAATTCCTGTAAATAAGTGTAGACACAAAAAAAAATAGGAATGTCAATATGTATGATAACCTCTTTCTTACATAGTGTTCTAAGAGCACAGTTTTTCAGGATAGCGATGAATTTTATCAGATCTGTGGTACGGCAGAATACTGGCATGCATGAATGTATGTATGTAATACCCACAGTCTGAAAAGAGGAACAGGCATATGGCAGTCAGATCCATCCCTACTCTGTGTGATGCACGAATACACATATGATGAGTATTAACTAGACATGCCACATGTGCACATCACTTTTCTGACCGTTTTGAGGATTAAACAAAACATAAATTACAAGACAGCTGGCTGCTTCTTTTCATTAACTTTTTTTCTTACTGACATGAAGCCCTTGGGGCTAGAGATGTGTGACACTACAGTTTGGTTTGTTGGCTGTCTCTCTTCTCATCATTCATGATTCCTCTGCAAGTGAGATTTCAGATAGCCTTGATGCTGGTCATCCTCTACTGCAAGTGGCTGTGGCACAGTAGTTGCTAATATCAGAGGATGTTTTACATGTTCCCGTTTTCCTGTGCTGCCTTCGCTAAGGTTGTTTCTTTGGTTCATTTTGTGAGCTATGGATTGTAACATGACACATGCATGAACAAACAGCTTTTCTGAGCCCCTGGTGGCTTTGAGTTCTGGATGCATAATCATTACCTTCATGTACCATATCAGAGGAAGCAGCATTCTTTCCTTTTCCTGCAGAGTGATTGCTTATGCTAGTTTTGGCCTTGCCTGCTGACATCAATCTCCCACAGTGATGATAGTCACATTTAATGTTGCAGAGGTGCTTCATTTCTGAGGCGTGTCATGCTGCTCTGCCTTTTAATGAGGAGTTAAATGGTAAAAATCTACTGTGAAGGAAAACACTTGCAATGAAGTATTAAATCTGCATGGGGATTTGCTAGAACAGGCTGAACTCTGTGGTGGCCAAATAGACTTCAGTAGCTGAAGAGAGTTGGGTGGGGGAGCAGTTCACAGCAGCAGGACATAATACAAAAGTCATAAGTCAGACTGGGCTAGGACTTTAAACCTCATTTAAAATCAGAATTGCTGGGGAAAAAATAAGTTTCTAAATTGTTTTTTCTTTGGACTTTTGAAAAATAGTGCCAAAACCTACTGACAGAGCCATGAATTTGTTGGCAATGGCGTCTAATGGATTGCAATTAATTCTAACAGTTTTACAGATGGGTGATCACTCCCCTGCATTCCCTCACTTTCCCTATGCAGTTGATGTGTGCTAAAAATAAAGGGCTGCCATTCTGTGTAAAAGGACTGCCAGTAATATTGCAGAATATCAACCTGTTGTAAATTAACATTGTAATATGGTGTTGATGATGTTTGTGATTTGTCTCTCAATATACTTTTGCATTGAAATTTTAAAATATAAGTGGCATGAAATTTATTTCCGCTGTGACTCAGATGACAGTAGGAAAACTTCTGTACCTCTGAAAGAATGACATCACACATGGGGTACCTTGGTCAGATAACGGTGTTGACATGTTTTGCCTCACAGTAAATAGTAGCAGGGATGAGTATCTCTGCTCTTAAGAACCCATGCTCTTACTTTTCTCAGTTGCATTCAGATTTAATTAAGTATAGCAGAATTAAAATGTAGGAGATTATGATCAAGCTTTGAACCAGTATTCTTTGTTTAACCTCAGTGAAAATGGAAACTGGTAAACTGCTTCCTTTTCACCTGAAGCCTGAGAGAGAACAGATTATTCTAACATTTTAGAATGCAGTCAGGAGATTTCTTTGCTTCAGATGTCAGTAAGTTGGTATTTATTCTAGGGGGACTCTTTTGTCCACTTGGTTGTCATGGTAGCTTTTTCTTAGGGGAAAAAATTAAGCAGTTTTGACTTCTTATGCAATAAAAAAATAAAATCCTACTAGTAATCCAGACCAAAACCAATATAAAGAACATAGGTTCAAAGTGTATTTTTCTGGACAGTGTATTTTGTTTGGATGCAGAAGAGCTGAAAAACTCATTCCCTTGGGAGCTGGAGTACCAGCACAAGTGCATAACAGTCCAGTGCTGGCAAGAAGAATGTGGTTGTGCTTCCAAATTTGTTTATTTGTATTTTGCTTGTTTCTGCAGAAATCAAGATAGGGCCAATAAAAAAACCACCCTAACTGGTGTGGGGGTTTTTATGTTAGTGCATGCTGGCATTGCATTTTGAGACTTCGAGGGTATGAGATTATTTAGTAAAAAGCAACATTTTCAATAAATATTTTATAATACTGGAGTTGTGCAAACTTTAAAACTCAGTTCTTCTCACATGCAGTTCTGCCTTCTTTTGTGGAAACAGCTCAATTATTCTGCCCTTTGCAGTGATCCTTCCTTTCCTGCTGCAATTAAGGGTGTAGTTTCCATTTTAGTAGGGCTTTTAAAGCAAGATCATTAGAGCTGGAGTTCAAGTTATTTGGATTTTGAATTGATTCTTGAAACTGAATGTTAAGAGTCCAGTGGTTTGTAACATCTCATTTTGTGGCTGTGTTAAGTATGAAAGCAGCAAAGCACACAGCTGGTACTTGAGCGAGTAGCAATGCAGACTATATGATCAAGTCAACAGAATGAAACCACAGCAGGCTTAATGTTGAAGCATAAAATTAGCACCATCATAGCTATTGTCTGTAGTTTTCTCCTCCATTTGTGTAATAAAGGTCACTTCTTAGAGTCACTTGGACATGACAAGATGCAGAGTGCTGTTTATTCAGATTAATTTTTCTGCCCTTTCATGTCTCTGCAGTGAGCTCATGATAGTCACTATCAGTATTTCTAGACAGAAGTGATGGAGGTTTTTTCTGTTTGGCTGTCTGTTGCCCCTTTGATAACCTGATCTTTGAGGGGAGAAAATAAGTGCAATGAAGAATTAAAGAGGAAAGCAGAATTGCTTTAATAGAGGACAGCTGTTGGTCTGCATCTGCCAGTGTTGAGCCACTTTGATTCTAAACAGATAGGTGTGTGCCACAGGGTCCTTGTTGGTCATGCAGAAGCAACCCCTGAGCTCCCCAGGAACAGCCCTGCACAAGGTGTGGAGCATGGGGGAGAAGGAAAGAAATTATTTTCGGTCCCCTGGCCCTTATCTGCCTTGCTGTGCGCTCCAGGATGTCTTACGAAAAACTCTGTTACTCCTGAGTGGATGACTTTGGCAGCATCTGCGTTGCCAGGTGAGCTGCTTGAGGCTGCATCCAAATCACTGCAAACTGCGTAGTGCTCAGTCACAGATTTTTTCTGCCCCTCCTGCTCCCCCTTGAGCCTCTCCAGTCCCAGGACATTTATGTAACAGCTTCTGCAGCACTTGTTTGTCTCAGCTTGTCTGAAATAAGGTGAAGTCATGCTGGGACCCATCACACTAGTATGGTATAGTATAACTGAGGGGATGTGCCATGTGCCTGGGGTGACTGGGTGACAAGGGGTTTGACCAGAGAGGTAGGAGAGGGCATCACACATATAGTGACAATGTACAGTGGAGGGAGTCAAGCGGGGAGAGTTTGCTTGCCTCTAGCCTCTTGGGAAGGGTCCTTGGCATCATTTTATCCTTGGAAACACACCTGAGACTTGGTTTTGGTTGGATCCAGTTGGCTTGGTTTGTTAGAGACTGGAAAGGACATAATACATATGCAGTGGGTGGTCAAAGGCCCAAGAGTGAAATTGAGAGCTAGATGTTTGACAGAATGGGCAGATGTACTCTCTACCACTTATAGATTGGTGATGTGTATGTTTACATAAAACAATTGTCGCCCAGTGGTTTCAGGGAGTGTGCCCTCCCTTTCTTGAGGATTATGGTGAATTGGGTTTGTTGATGTTTGCTGTAAATGAATTTACATCAAGTATGGTTTTTATGTCCTGTAAACAGGGAGAACAATGGTTGGTTTGTTAACTGAAAGGAGAGGAAGAGGCAGTTTTCCATGTGAGCAGAACAGCCCATCCCTGTTGTGTGAGCTGCTGTTGAGAATCCTAATGAAATAGAAAGCAGCCTGCATGGCTCTCAAGGCTTTTTTTTTCATTCTTTATTTACCCTGCAAAGAAAATGAAATTGCTGGTACAGGGGAGGAAAAATACACTCTCCCAAAACTTGACAGGGCCACAATTGCAGCTGTCTTAACTGTTCTCCCCCCACTCTTCCCCTGTGGTAGTATGATCATGGGGAAATCATATCTGCCTTTGTCTGCTTTGCATACAGGTAGTGCTTCCAACATTTATTTTGGAGAAAAGATCCCTGCTGGAGATGTATGCAAATTTCATGGCCCATCCAGACCTGTTTTTGTCAATTGCAGCTGGAGCCACTCCTGAGGAAAGAATTATCAGCTTTGTGGAGTATTATCTAACAGCTTTTCATGAAGGCCGAAAGGGAGCGGTTGCCAAGAAGCCCTATAACCCTATAATTGGTGAAACGTTTCATTGCTCCTGGGATGTGCCTAAAGATAAAGTGAAAGCATTGAGAACTAACGGTGCCTCCACAGTTTCTAAGGAACCAACCAAGGAGTTTGGCCAGAACCAGTCCACATGCTACAAGCTGAGGTTTGTAGCTGAACAAGTGTCCCACCATCCACCAATATCTTGCTTTTACTGTGAGTGCAAAGAGAAGAAAATGTGTGTGAACGCTCACGTATGGACCAAAAGCAAGTTCATGGGCATGTCAATAGGTGTTTCTATGGTAGGTGAAGGTAAGAAATGTGCTTTTACTTCATTTTTTTGAGCTAATGTCATGGGTGTCAACACAACAGAAATCCAGATACTTTCCTGCTTTCTCTCCCTCTCACCCTTCCTTTGACCTTTGTGGCTATTTGTTTTGTGAAGTTTGGAAGTAAAATTGCAGGGTTCATACAACTTCTTTTGTGTCCAGACAGAATGTGTACAGTACATATGTGTACTTATATTTTTGTGATTCTGTTAATGTGGCTGTACTGCAGACAGAATTAAGTTGCAGTAGCAAATGGCTACTAACATCATATTCTGTAAGAACAGTTTCATTTGTCTTGCTCACTTTTAAAATGATCTGCAGTTTGGTATGCGATGGTTGCATAAGTGGAACAAAGAGATAGGAAAACTCCACATTTTTACTCAAGCTGAATGTTCTTTTTTTTTCATAGTTTCTGCAAAGAATCATGGTTTCTGTGGTGTTCACAAAGTTAGTGTTTTATCTCATGCTTTATAGAAAGTCATGCAGTCAAGGTATAAGTCATGATTTGCTATATCATACATGCATAGACTGCTTTATGGTAAGTCATTGCTGAACATGAATTCAGAAATACAGGGAATTGTAACAAATTCTTCATGAGTGATGTTAGCTGATAAACACACCTGTACCAGTGTCATTACTGACTGCTAATGTATTGACTTCATGTTTCTAAGCAATTTAGTCCCTTTTGCCATTTGAGGGTAATTCCCTGCGTGTGGCTTTCGGTGTTTTGTCTTAACTAGTTTTTAGACTGTAGTCTCAGAAGGACCAGGACAACTTATGGTAAATGCTTCTTTTTGTCATCGTTGTGTTAAACACTATGATATTAAAGGTACTAAAGAAGTAGAGTGGGAAATGAGCGATTAGGTTTTGCTCATTAATAACAACAAAATGATTATGGTAAAAACATACAGATCTGTTCTGCTGTTTCTACTAGCTAGAACTAAATAACAAATTCAAACAGTAGAAAAGGCTACAGGAGCTTCTTTTCTGATGGCAATGTATTCCCTTTTTTACAGAAGAGTCCTGTAACTTCCTTAACTACTGCATTTGATAGTATTGTGATAGCTAAAGTCTATAACAGCATGGCTGTTTCCTTCTTCCTGTGACTTAGGTTTGATTTTAATATGGAGTTAGGGAAGTTGGGAAAGGAGCGTCAGAAGGGAAATTGGTCTTTCTGTCTTCTGACTGTACTGCTGCCAGCCTGACTCACTGTTTAACTTGCTGCATTTTTCAGGTATATATAAATTTCTACTACTGTTGTTCTCAGCGAAGGGAGCTATTTAATGTGAATAAAATTAAATGCAAAGTCACTTATGGTTATGTAGGAGTAGGGAAATTTATTTTCGTTGTTGCTAGCGCAGTTCCCTGGGATTGAGGGTGTCTGTTGTGGGGATTACTTGAGACTTCAAAGTCCTGATGTGTCCCAGTTTTGAGAGACAAAGAGTCTAGAAATGAAGCACTTCCCTACCTCAAGGATAGTTTAATGTGTGTTTCTGAGACTAAGTTCTCCCCTGACTTTTTTTTTTTCATGATCCTGGAGATATCCCAGGAGTAGAGGCAGGCTTTGGGGAACATCTGCAATGGTCAACTCTTCTGCTGCAGGCTTTACTGCAGTCTTTATGATGGTAATTTTGGGAGGAAGTTTGTGTTTACCAATTTATAGTTATCATTTGTCTTTTTTTGTCCATATAAGTGCTGCCGGACATGCAGCCTCATGGTTGCCCATGGCAGTGGTGGAATCACCGTCCCTGAAAGTGTTCAAAACCCATGTAGATAAGTCCCTCATGACATGGTTTAGTGGTGGCCTTGGCAGTGCTGGGGTAATGGCTGGACTTGGTGATCTTAAGGATCTTATCCAACCCAGTTGATTCTATGATGACAGCGTTTTTGGGAAGTGATGGAGAAACTCCACTGCAGCCCATGCATTTCTCTTGCATGTTGAGGACTGGCAATGGGCAGGAAGAAGTTGTACTGCTGAAGCTTTTCTATCATCTGGAAACAGGCAGCCTGAAACGGGCAGCCTCAGTTTTAAAATGCTTGCTTTGCAGTGTGGTTTCTTCACTCAAAATGATGCTTTCTTCAGTTTTGAAAACATAAAGTCTTACGGAAGTCTTCAGAATTAAGCTGGTGAAGCTTTGTGAAGCTGTCCAGAAATCAGAATCTACTGCAGACATTTCTTTCTCATGTGCTGCGTAAGTATAAATTCTGTAGTAGACTGAAGTCAGCATGAGCACTGGGGAACAGGTTGGTGAACCAAAGCCACTGGGCTTACAGTGTGCAAAACCTGTGTCTGTATTTACAACATCTGATAATGCAGGCCTAATATTTTTTTAATGTGAAATATAATTTGAAGAATTTTCTTTAGGGACATTTTATGCACTGCAGAATTTCAAATGGGGTGAGTTAGTCTAGCAAAGCACAGATGGTGGAAAGACAAGCTATGCTGTTAGTCAGAAGGTATGTGAAAGTAGTTGAGATAGGTAGAAAACAAAGTTACCTACTAGAAGAAGGTTTCTGACAACAAGGTTGCCTGCTGAGGTTGTAGAATCTTATTTTAAACTAAAAACTGGAGTAAACAAGTTTCTCAGGAATGACTGATCCTGCTTTTGTAAGAGACAAAGTGACAGTTTGTGAATCATAGAAATCCCTGGGAGTTGATTGTATTTGCTACTCCAGGTTGCATGACCAAACTCATCATGTGTTATTATTATTTTTTGTTCTTTCCCCCTCTTTATTTTCTTTCTTTCTGTTTTCTTTTTCCACATTATGAGCATTCAGCCCTTTTTCAGCTGTTGCTGAAGTTTACTTATGCACGTCAGTGCCTTTGGCTTTCTGTTAGAATAAGGATTTTAGATTGTGCATGAATTGAAAGGCAGTTTCCTTGATATCTTTAAAATATCTCTGTCCATTCTGAGACTTCATTTAAATCATTCTGGTGTTGGTAGAGGAGTTTCATTATACTGAGCATTCATAGTACTACCTGATGTATGGAGTGAAAAAAACAGGATTAGGGAGCTGCAGTTACTGCTTTGGATAATTCAGTGGGAGGAAGTGATCACCTTGTACTAATTCTGATACTGATCAGAACACTTTTGTTTGACCTGTAATTTTGTTGTGGCCTTGGTGTTGAATACAAACAACTGGGATGTGGTTTAAAACTTTGCTCTCTATGGAATAGTTTTGTGTGTGCCCTTCACGGAATTCAATGAAGCTTTTTCTACCACAGTTGGCTTTTACAAGAAAGTAGTCGTACTGAATTTTGGAACCTGTATTGTGTGAGGAACACGCTGGTCATGTCTCTGTGGTGGTTTTTGAAAGGTATTTTTTTTTAACTGGTCACACTGTCCTTAGATGTATACAGCGTGTTGCTTTTTATGCATAAAAACATTGTTAGAATAGCACTGTTGGTAGAGGCAGCAGTGGTTGTACTGAAGTAGGATGTTGTAGAAGTAGAAAGGCTTCTACAAGAATTGAAAGCATATGAAGATATGAGGACAGTGTGGTCCTGTCATACAGATATAGCTCAGTATCTCAATTGTACAATTTTCAGTGTGTTGCACCTCAGAGTGACTAGGGTTTTTTTTCTTTATCTCTGATGTTTGTTTGTTGATTCAAAGTATCAGTTGCAGAGATGCAGAACAAGTAGGAAAGCATGACTGGAAATCCATGTGGGATGCTGTTTGGTATGCTAGCCCTCCATCTGTGGTTATGAGGGGTCTGAATCTGGCTTGCTAATGAAATATCTCAATTTTTTCTTCACTGTATATGAACTTCCCGTTCTTCAGAGTAGTCAGCACTGAGTTTCCTCGTGAGAAAGCTACCCTGAATAGAAGTGAGGGTATTTTGCATAAAAGAATTCATGTTGCATGCACAGTCCCTAATTCTGGTTAATTATGTACTAATGAGAGAGTGAGGGAGAAGACAATGTAATGAATAGGATCTCATTAAGATTTAAAATAGTCAGGGATGAGAAAGTCAGTGTAAATATTTGATGGTTTTTTTTACATGGTCCAAAGAATCTTTAGATACTGGTTGTAGAATAAAACAGACCCTGATTGTAGGATAAGGATGGAAAGTGGGTAAGTGGAAAAGGCTGTGGTGAGCACACCTCAGTGTGGGTGGTGCTTGTTCCTTTTCTGCTCTTGGATTTTGTTCCAAAGCTACAAAATCCAGCAGAAAGTGTCACCTTTGACTCACGGGTTAATTTTGCAGAAAACATCGAGTAGGTTTAGGTGAGTTACTCTGTATTATCAGGTGGCTGGTTATGTCTTGGGTTTTCACTCCTGCTGTCTTAAGTGTTTTAAAAACTAGTGAGGTGTAGGCATCCAGAAATTACCTTTTAAATTGAAATCAACCTTGAAAAGATTTGATAGGATGTTCTTCCCAGGATAGGTCTAAATGAGAGCAATAATGTTGTTTTATTTGGGTTTTTCTGTTCAGGTATCTATATGTGTTTACAGATATACAGGTCTCTAATTTCTATTCCTGAGTCATTAGTGACTTTTCAGTTTACCAGTCCCAAAGATTTACTTCTCTGTGCCACTAGAGCTACCTAAATATTTTCCCAGCACTAATTTTTGTACTGATATTTTTTAGCCCATTGGTTTCAGAACAGTTTCCATATGGCGTGACACTCATTACTTAATTTGGCAAATGGCTCCAGTCTTTGGAAAATGACCAGTGCAGCGCGGCTCACTGGAATATCTGTGAGATGATAAGAGCCTGGTTCTGGCATCTCATGTTTTCTTATTGGAACATGATGCTTTACACCTGTGTGGGGTTCATGCCCTGTGTAACTTACTCCTGTTTGTGCCCTGTTAAGAACAGTGCAGAAGGAGTGGAGAGCCTGTCAAATTAGGGAACTGCCCAAGGCTGTTTGTGTCCCGCATGCCATTTGTTGTTCGGATTGATCTCCATACAGTCAGTGGGAAGCATTAAATTTCACATGCCTCTTCTGCATCTCATTGATCCAGAGCTTCCTCTGGGTATTTTGTCAGTGTGCATTACTGGAAAATAAATGCACAAAACTGCAACATTAGTGAGGGACATGTAAAAATCAAATAGGGGAAAACATATGTCACAAGCATCACTTCTTTTAATGCAGGCTGAGGAGCCACTGGAAGGAGCATGACTGTGAATATGTTGCCTTAGTTAAAAGCAGGAGCAAATGGTGTGGAGGACGTTTCAAGGGGGACTTTCAAAATTCTACACGTTTATAAAATATTCTCCCTTCTATGTGGGATTTTTGTCTCTTAAACTAGATTGCAAAATCCACTGTTCCTCCCTGGGTACTTAATCTGGTGCGTTCTTCCATGCATAATAACTGCCTATAAATACTTCAGATTTTTTTTCTTTAAGGGAATTTGCAGTTTCCAAAATAATTCTTTGATGTGAGAGGGGGAATGTGACTGAAAATGGGAGAGTCTTCTTTTCATGTGTATTTACGTACAGCCACTTTTAAGGTAAAAATCCAGTGGGGAAGCAAGAGAAGAAAAATAGATGGTGTATTTTTAAAGATCAGTCCCAATGTGATGATATGTAAAAGCAGATCTTAAAATGTTAAAAGTAACTGTTAGATTTTACTTGTTCTGCCTTTAATTTCTCCCCTCTTCAGGGTAGGGCTTGAAATTAAATTGTGGTAGCAGTTACAAATGGCTCAGTGTCGTTCTGGCTTCCTCTTCCCTAAGAGAGCATGGGCCTCACAGTTATGGTGCTGCAGCAGCAGTCTTCATGGTGCTTCGGTTAAATGAGGTTTTGCATGTGGACAGTGCAACTGATGGAATGCAAAGCTAACAGTTTGGTTAATACTAAACATAGCATCAATTGTGGATATTTAAAATACTCCCTTTGTTCTTGTTTAGATTGCAATTATTGAGCTGGAATCATGTTTCAAGTGAAATAGCACTTCATTAAAAATGTATTTATTCAGGTATTTAAAGGATTCAAAAAGTATGCTCCCAGGTGCTAAAAATACTGCCAAGAGCTGGGTTCAGTGTTTAATATCTAACCTGCTGTGGTAGTTAAATATTTACATTGAAGGTCACTGCTGTTATTTGCTGCTCACTTTTCCATGTGCTTGGCAGTGTTCATTAGAGCTTGGCGTCCCTCCCACTTGAGCATGGCGGGGAAAAAGCTATTGATCCCATCAGAGACCATCCCATCAGAGAGACAAAAGCAAAGCTACACTAACACAGAGGGAATTATGTTTACTGTGGCAGTTTCCTCTTATGCATTGACACACAGTGATGGTCAGATGGCTGGACCTGGGGAAGTCGGAGGCTCTGGAGAAGCTCATGTGAAGGTGTGGACTGTATTTCAGTCAGGTTCTCCCCCCAGTAGTGAGCACCACCCCTGCCCACCAGGCATGGGTTAGACCTTTTGTCTAACAGAAAAACCTATCACCAGTCATGAAAGCCTCCAAAAACTGCCATGTTGGAAGCTGATGCTTTTTGACTGTGTGAGGGTTGTGTCTGTGCTTAGACCATTAAGACTGGGGAAATGTGACCTTGTGGGTACCATTTCCTACAGCTGGTTGCTACTGCATGTCTGTTGATCATGACAGGCATGAAGAAGGTGGACAATAAATGAGAAGAGGAGGAGAAAAGGAAACTGACAGGATTGAGTCTAAAATTTCTTCACAGAGAGGGTGCTCAGGCATTGGAACAGGCTACCCAGGGCAGTGGTGGAATCACTGTCCCTGGAAGTGTTCAGAAACTGTAGATGTGGCCTGCAGTGACATGGTTTAGTGGTGGACTTGGCAGTCCTGGAGTAATGGTTGGACTTAATGAGCTTAAAGGTCTTTTCCAACCTAGGTGATTCTGTGATTCTGTGTAGGAAACGCCCACCTGCAGATTGCCAGGCTTCCTTTCTGCATTTGATCAGTACCCATGAGCTTTCTTTGATCCTTTTTAAGTATCATCCCCAGGTTAAAAGGCTTCTTGATTGTTGTTTATTAAGTTACTGTTACTGCACTATCCATTTAATGAGTTCACTAAGTGGAGTTGTCTTTCCAAGTAAAAGTTCTTCCTGGCTGCATATCCTGGGTGAGTTGGGTAGTTCAGCCTCCCTGCAGTGTGTTCAGCTTGGTTTTACCTGCAAGTATGGAGCCAAGGAGCCTGGAGGCAAAAGGTGTGTATTCCAGCTGTGTCCTGGATGTTCCTGCTAGTGAGGGGTCAGCACAAGTGACACAACAAACCTGCTGAGGTAGAATGATTGCAGGTCCTTTTAAGACATTGCTCTTCTGTGTCTGTGCTTGTGCAGCCTCTGGCTTGATTGTGCCAAACTTGCTGCTGTAGATTTTCTGGCTGTGTTGTTGCTGGCAGGCTGACGTTGCGGGAGTCCTGAGAATAACTGCATAGAACTGTTCTGGTTTGCAAAAGATGTTTTCCTGTGGCGCAGTTTCAGATGTCAGAAGTTATGAGTTGCAGAGCTTCCTGTGCCTGTGCTGAGTGCTGTTAATTGGAGCCAATATTTAAGATGATGATTCTGCTCAGAGCTCTGTGCTCTAAGATTTTGACTGTTTTCTAGGTTTGTGTTTTCATACAGCATTAAGGGCATATTTTCATGTTGGCAATAGCAGTGCCTTGTTCCTATTTAGTGCTTCTTCATCATTGCATGCTAGATCACTTCGCAAAAGTAGTGTTGTCATTCCCTTGAACACATAGAAAAACTAGTCGATACTGCTACTAACGTGTTCTTCCCCTGCCTGCCCCAGGGTGAAGGCAAATTGGCTCAAGCTCATCTTGTTTCTAAACAGATACTATTACTTGCCAAGGTCTGGGTGTTTTCCAAATAGTTCTGGGTTCTGAGTGCTTCCTGTGATGGGTTATTTTAAATCCCTGTTATGAAAAATTCAAAGCTGTAATTTTTGCCTTTAGGCAGTTATTAAATGGGGCACAAAAGAATGTAAATCTCTAATCAAAAATATACTATAGATACTTGGCATTATTTAATTCTGTGTGTAAGGTTTAAGGTGCTCTTTACCTGGTATTATGTCCTGCTCTTTGTTATCCTGAAGCCCAAACTACAGCTGTGGTGGGGATGGAGCTGAATCCTTAACCCCAGGAGACACTAAGATCTGATCAGATGCGCAATCTTGACAAATTGCTATTGCTGCTGCATGTTGTTGTTTTTAGTTACGACCCCATAATGTTGAGGGTGGAGGAACCTTTGCAGAATGAAATGGAAATACCAGTCATTTTCTCTGCCTGGATGAGACAGTAGTGGTGGTGGTAACAGAGCAGTGGCCGTGGTGGTAACAGAGCAGGGGCCCTGGTGGCCCTTACTTTGATGATGCTAGACTTTTGCGAAGGTCGTGTGGGAAACCAGGCATTTGGGAATGAAGGGGCAAACTTAGAAGCAATTTCTAGGTGGCTTCCTAAAGCTTGTTTCCTAGTTTTATGTGGGCTAGGCCTTGGGAGAGCCTCTTACACCCCCCCAGTAAGAAGTGAACCTGGTCATGTCTGATTGAATGGAGAACTGAAGAGTCCTTCAGCTGTGCTCATATTTTTTCTGGAGAGAGATTATGAGATGATGCTGAGTGGGCATCTGAGTATTCACTGTGGTGGTTTGTAAGCAAGTGTTACTTTTTCCCAGCCTTAACGGTTGTCAGTAACACAAAATAACTAACACAGATTTTCTGCTAAGCCCTTTGGTACCACAAAAGTTGGCAGGGTTCACATTCAGACCGTGTGCTGCTGAAAATGTTTGAAGAAGTTTGTTCCAGAGGACAGACTTTCCCTCAGCAGCAAAGGGGATTTGCATGTTGTGCGCTTTATGGAAGTACATTTTGATGGCATTGTTTGGTCAGTGACTATCAGGTCTTACCAGTGAACTCTCATAATTTCAGTTTCAACCTTCTTCCTAAATAGGTGTTCTTCACTTAATGGAACATGAAGAAGAGTATGTTTTCACCCTACCTAGTGCCTATGCTCGCTCGATACTTACGATCCCCTGGGTGGAGCTTGGAGGGAAAGTCAACATTACTTGTGCCAGAACAGGCTATTCTGCTACTGTCACATTCCACACCAAGCCGTTCTATGGAGGGAAGGTCCACAGGTACTGGAATTACTGTCTTATTCATGTTTACCTGCTACTGGATTTTAATGCCAAGAGGCTTGGGCATCTGTTCAGTTCTTCTCTTGGGGTATTTTATAGACAGATATCTGAATTTCTTTTCATATTAGTGTTTGGGATGACTTACAGATTTGGAGCACAGGTTATGGTAGTTATGTTTTATATCATTTCGCTGAATTACCTGTATTTCTCTCATTAAACCAAGGTGAATGTATTCTTCCAGACTTTGTTGCTTGTAAAAATCGCTGTAAGTGCAGGACCAGAACAGGCAGTGTTTCTGCTGCACCAGCTGCTGCTTCTGTGTGGTTCTTGCAGATGAACTGGTGTTCCATGTGGAGGGAGCTCCTCTAAGGAGGAGAGAAGCAAAAGTGGCGCTGCCCATAACGGTAGCTCCCTGCTGGAGATTCCTAGTTCTGCACCAAAACTCCAGATGATGAAAATATTATTTACATGTCTTTGGTTCCCCTTTATTAAGGGTGCAGAGAGGCACTGTGCAAGACAGTTCCTGTCTTAATTCCATGCTCAACTTGATGGTACAGTCATTAAAGGACCTTGCTGTCTTGTAGGCTGTAGCAGTATCCATGAGAACCTGCACTTCTGCATGGGTACCTCTGCTTTTCTTCAGTTGATCTAATTATTCCCCCATATGTATATATATTAATTTTAGTACTCTGCTCAGGCAAGTACCACATGGGCTGTTTTGGCAGGGGCTTTTCTGAAAGTTGTATATTACTAATTGGTGCCATCAGGGTGAGGGAAAACTGGGGAATGTTGTGCTGTATTAATGTGATAATTTAACAACTTAACTGAGTTTACAGATTGCTTGACATGGCTTGCTGAAGCATATATGCATGTTCATAAGATACACGCATGAAGCTTCTCCCTGCATTTTGGGTTTCCAGTCCTGCCTGTCTACTTTGCTCACTCTCAGACCAGTTCTTGAACCACTGAAGTGGCTTTAATCATTGCCTCTCAGCAGCTAAAAAGTAAATTTGCACAGCTAAAAAAGAAAGCAGAAGTATCTGAAGTCTTTGACATTGGTATCTGACATCATTACACTCAGGTGCTAAAACACCATGTGGACTGGGAAAGTCACATGAATGTCAGGAGTTGTTTATCAGGCTGATGAGGTGAACAGCTCTGGGTTAGAGCTGTGTCAGAGTTTGAAGCTGCATTATGGCTGTGTTTTGGGGGAATGTTGTCTAGCGCTGTGTTAGCAAAGCTTCCTTGGGTTGAGTCTTTCCTTTTGGAGACAGTGTCACTACTGTGCTTGAAAAATTGCTGTGTAGATGTAGAAAGCTGCCTGTAGCCTTAGCTGTGGTAGTGCTTTTGTATGCTAATAATAAGTGGTACCAGTTATTTCTGTGGTTTTTTTTTCTTCTTCCCTCTTGAATTAGGGTAACAGCTGAAGTGAAACACAGTCCCACTAACACCATTGTATGCAAGGCACAGGGAGAATGGAATGGGATGCTGGAATTTACTTACAGCAACGGAGAAACCAAAGTGATCGACACCAACAAACTGCCCATTATCAGGAAAAAGATTAGGCCGATAGCAAAGCAAGGCCCACTGGAATCCAGGTAAGGCCAGAGGTGTTAGTGTTCTGCTTCTGGACTTCCAATGGGAGGCGAACAGGGAGGCAAAGTGCAGTTGTAAATGGTGTGGTTCAAAAACACCTCACTTGCTGCAGCACGTTAGTCTAGGCACAAACAGCTGAAGCTGTGTACTGGTTCTGTGGAACGTAAGTTACATTATAGTGACATGTACATCAGTTCTGTGGAGGGGAAAAATGCTTGTATGTGTTTTAATGAGCGCTTGGAAAATGGCAATGCAGTGTTTTCAGCTGCTGCTTTGAGTGATGGCAACATGGTAGCCAAGTTAGTCTGATGCAAGTAATGTTACATCTTATAATCTACACTGGAAATACATGGTTTATATCTTTTAAATTATATATATGTATAAAAATATGCAAAGTGTGATGCAGTATGAGATACACACACGTGTGTATTAAGGCTCTCAGCACCCACATCATGTGCCTAACTCTGATTAGGTACATTAGAACAAAACTTGCACTGTTACTATCACTGTCAGTAACTGTTGATGCCTATCTTTAGAAAAATCAGTATTTTTATTGCATTTCAGAATATTTTTTTGAGAATTTAAAAACATGAGTTAAGCTTCATTTTGTTACCTGTAGATATATTCTCTTTATTGTACAAAGGTGTGTCTCAAATCGGTGTGCAGGGTCAAATAAAATTTTGCTACTTTCTAGACATGCTTCCTATCACAAACTCATCTTTCCCTGTAGCTTTGGAACAGAAAGGTTGGAGTAAATAAGGAAGACAGTAGTTCCACAGTGTATTTATTGGGGTTTTTTTTGGATACTAGTAAGCAAATTACAACTTACCTGGTGTTTCTGCAGGTTATACAGTTTATCAGATTGTAAATAGAAACTCATTTATTTAAACATCCCTGGAAGCATGTGAAAGCTGCAGTTGGTTTCTTCTCAGTATTTTTCTGGGCTGATGTAGTGTGAGAAGGCTTTGAACCTGAATGCTGTGAGTTGTGTGAAAAACAAGTTTGGTTGTGTACTGGGAATTATTATTAACTGGGATTTGAGAGCACAGACCTATAAGGCTCCCTAGAATCAGTGCACCAACTCCTCTGTTAGTAACCTGGTGGGAGCAGTCAGTGTCCCAGTTTAATGTACTCTTGGCTTTTGGCTGACATTCTCTTACAATTCACAAATATCACTGCAAATAAATGGAGAATAAAGACATGTCATTTGGGGGTGGATCGTCAGTAAGGAATGTAAACAGGAAATGGTAAACATGAATCCCTCTGCTGTGAGAAGAAAGCTTAGGTTGTGAAGAGTCAGGAACATGAACAAAAGTGATTAGAAGATTAACTTGCAAAACACTGGGAGTTGAGGAAATTAGAGAATCTGCTCCACAAATGCAGCGACCATCCCAGGAGTGTGATGGTTCACAAGCTATATGATTGCAGAAGCAGCATGGAGAACTGTGTCAGGCCACCTTTCACCATACTGTGGCCACTGAGAAGTGCTCTCACACTGTCACTTGCTCCTTCTCCACCACACAGGCACCTCTGGCAGCACGTCACCAACTCTCTGAAAGAAGGCAATATTGATGCAGCCACAGAGCACAAGCACCACCTTGAAGAGAGACAGCGAGCAGAGGAGAGGCAACGTGTGGCTCTTGCAGCACAGTGGAAACCAAAATACTTTGCCAAAGAGGTATTTCTATTACCTTATTTCAAAGACCCTGGAGCATGTTTCTGTGTGTACAGGAGGATGTTAGGGACAGGCGAATTCGCCTGTGGTTTTTACCACTGAGTGTTGTAAATTCTATTTTCACCAGAGTCTGGCCCTTAAAGAAGAGCAATGGGTTTTTCCATGTCCATATTGTAAACTAGTTTACTTTCATTCGGTTAGATTTGAACCTGAATTTTTGGTACCTAATGTTAGGCACTTAAAGCTGTTTTTTACCTTAAAATCCACATCCTAATTTGCAAGTGCTGTGTACTCATAACCCCTGCTAATCTTGATCTCAGCATAGTAAAGTGAATATGGTCTAGATATTTGTCCAGTGCAATTAAGCATGGACATCTGAAAGTCTTGGGTTTAATCTGCTTGTAATGAAACAGATTTTAAAGTTTGTCTTTGCCCTTTCCTAGAGGAAAGGGGACCAGAACTAAGACTGACTGAGAGAATTACTATGTGACTCTGTTGTCACATTAGCCACTATGACCAGAAGTTTAAACCAGCAGTTCATCTGTTGCCATCTTCTCATTGCTTCTCTTCCCCCTTGTAATTTTTTTCCTCCTGCCCAAATTATCTGTAAATTGATTAACCACAGAATTTTCAGATGACAGGGGCTGGTTTCTTGTGTTGATGAGTGTTGTGTTGATGAGAATTATTTTAGCTTTATGTGAACTTACACAATCCTGTATGTATAAATCTCGTTAGCAAACTCTCCCTAATTTTCTTGCAGGGCGATGGTTGGCTATACTTGAATCCTCTCTGGAAGACCCAATGATGCGGTAGAGCAGTTGCCTCGTAATTTTACCTTTAAGGCATTAAAATGATACAGTGTATAACCTGAAGATATCATTGAGTAGGTCCTGTTATTGGAAGATACCAACAAGAAACTGTATTGTGAATGGTGCATCTCAAAATAACGACATTCGCAATTTATTCAGGAGCCATGTTGTGTGTATGGGTACACGAACACATGCACACACGTCCGTATGTACACATTATACACACAGTGTGTATGTGCTTGCATGTGTATTATTTACACTACATGTAAACAAGTTTAAACACTAACAGTGAATTGAAGACCTTTTCCTGTGTTAGGGCACAAGCCTCCAGCTGGACCTAGCTGGGGCTCCCTGAGTTTTGTGCTTGCAGGATCAGGCCTATCCTAGTATATAAGAAAATACTTTTTTATTAGTTAAGGTTTTTCTATTTTTCACTTATGCCAAAAATGTTTTGCACTTAAAATGTGATGTGTCACTTAATGGCCGTCATTCTGTCTGAACAGGCATTGAGTGACTCACTTTGACATTAAGAATGATACACTGATGGCATCCTTCCTATTTGGGATGCTGATTCAAGAGCACGTTTCTGGTCACTTAGGAGTGTAAATTTTCAGCCATCGTGTAAGAAGTAGCAATACCTTCTCAAGAGCATTGTTCACACTAACCCACTGAGCCCCCTCTTTTTCCTTTGTTCATACTTCCAGCTGTTGAACAGATATGGTCACCAGTGAGCCAGCTGCTTGGGTGATTCTCATCTTGTTGTGCAGTGTTCTGGGTACTGTTGCACCAATGCTTGGGGTTACACGTTCCACTAAATCCCTTCTGGCAGCTGTAGCTGTGGTGTCCAGCTCAGCCTTACTGCAGCTTTTTGCCCCCATGTAAGAGGCGCTGCACCTGAGCATTCCCTGCCTTGCCTTTGAAGTTAAACCACTGCTCAAAGGTGCGGCTGTGTGCTGAGGTGGATGATGCTGGGCTGGAGTCCTGTCCTGCTGGGCTGCTGGGATCAGTGAGGGCCTTCCCCACCAGCTGAGCAGTGCATTGCTCGGGGCAGTCAGACCGGAGATGGTGGGCTCAGAGCCCCTCATTTCATGCGAAGGCTCCGGGCAGACCACGTGCGGATTGCTTCTGCTTTTGACCTGGTTGATTCTGAATGACGTACTTGGGTGAATGGTAGAACTAGCCTTCTTAGATGAATGATTTTTCTGATGCGAAAGTAACAGGCTAGTTAATTGTTACAGCAACAAAAGCTTTATTAATGAAGCAAACAAAATGGGATATAGTTTTGTAAAGTAAAAAAGTAAACAGTCCTGTAGCTTGATCTGGTTTTGTAAGGTGACCACTGTGACACTGAGGAAGTGGATTCTGAAAGTGTGTTAAGGCTTCATTGCTTTTTAGTTGGTGTTTGTTGACAGTGAAGATGTTTTTGAGAGGAGCAGCAACAAAAGGCAAATGTAAATGTGCTAACTTCTGCTGTGCCCTGTCAAGAAACCACTCTGTTTTCTAATGCAAAGTAATGTGGTGGGCCTTTCCGTAGTACTGATTAATTTTGTGCCTTTTGTCTTAACACAGTAACTTATGCTTTATATATGTGACACAAATATCTTTTAAGTCAAAGCACTGCTTAGATCTGTTCTTGTGTGTCCTGCATTTCCTCATTATCTGCCTGGTAGATGTGACAATCCCTTCAGCAACTCAAGAGGCTGCTCAGAGGTGTATACACAAGGAAACACACCAGTAGTTGTTCATTTGGACGTAACAGTTGTTAATAGATCTTTATGTTCAAACTTCAGATCCCCTTTTAATGCAGCTGTGGCTGCTTTTTCCTCCTAAATGCTATTTTGTCTGCTTGTATGTCCTTGTTTTTGCACATTAAGAAAATCCATGTTATGAATGATGTAAATCCTATTTTTAAAAGAAATGTGGACAGTATGAGCTTCGTTTTGTAACCAACATTTTTAAGGGGAAAAAAATATTTTTAGGAATAGTTGATTTTTTTTGTAACAAAGCAAAATGATGCCATCATAGTAATCACTGAACTGCCACAAGTATTGTCAGGAAAACATGTACTTCATCACCTGCAAGAATTAGCTTTCTAATGGATCCTCTCCTGCTCTAGAGGTCAGTCTGATAAGTAACCAGAAGTATTCATATGGTTTGTAATATCACAAAGAACAATCGAAAATGCAGAACTGAATATGTGGAACATCCTCCCAGAACTTTTGGCTTTCGCACACCAAACAAGCCACAGACTCACTATAAAGAGCCATGGAAAACCTCTCTCCACCAGGCATGCAGGCCTGCTCTCCTGAAAGAGTAAACCTCTTTCAGATTTGGTGGTAGGACTGTCGAGGCTACAAGGGTACTGTAGCCGTTCTTTTAAAAGGAGAAATTGGAGTAATTTTATGCTTGTAATCTATTGAAGAGTTTTTCTGTCTGCATGGTTGGCTCTTTCTGCATGCTCAGAACATTCCACTTGCATTCTGATAAATGTTTTGTTTGGTTCCGATGCTCTGAAGAACCTGCTGGGGTTTCTGCTGTTCCTTTTCCAAAGTAACTTGGGAGAGGCAGACACGAAAATAGCCCTTTTCTCTGAAAAGATCCCATCAGCGAGAGATTCCAGAACAAGGTTCACAAGTGTCATTTTTTGGTAGTTCTGTGTTCAGTATATTTTTATGAGATTGAAATTAAATATTCATAAGCCTTACTCCGTAGGTTGTTCCAGTAGCTGTCTTGGACTTGCAAGTGAACGTTTTCCAAGTAGCCAGCGTACACTCTAAATTGTAATGAAACCTCCATGTACTTTCAGTTTTGTGTGTGCACGCTGTGGAAAGCCTATGCAACCTTTTTCTTTCTCAAGTAAGAATGTTCAAAAAGAAAATTTTTAACTTTATGATTTCCAAGATGCTCCGGAAGTCTCTTCTGATTTGCCTTCCTTTCATAATTTGTGACTTTAAGGTGACAATGCTCATGAATAAAAGATTTGTTTCATTTAGTAGTGGGATGCCCTTTCTCTTTCCACTGAAGCCTTAGTGAGGTGGTACAGGTGCCTCAGGAGCAGTTCATGTGGCTCTGGTGGAAGTGATGTTTCAGCTGAATCTGGGTTTGTTGTTGGGGTTTTCTGCCCTGCTCATACTACCTGACACCACAGAGGTAAGTTCCTGTTTATATTGGACAGCACTGCTCAGGGAGAACAGGGCTGGGTACCATCACAGCTCTAGGAGAGGCTAGGCAACATATGCTTTGTTTGACAAATAAAAAAGAAGTAAATGAAGGTATTCCCTTGTTTCTGAAAACTGTATTTAATTTAATCTTTGTCCTGAAGAGTCTTGATGAGATACTACTTAAAATGCAACTCTAAATAATTGCAGCATTGTACACTTGCACAGGGAGGAAGAATGTGCTTAGAGGCTTCATGGATCCTGGTCACCATTTTTCAAGTGCTAACTAATGCAGTTCTGGTTTAAACATTCATCCACAGTGTTGGAAACAACTGTGCCGGGACACTTTGTTTTAATGCAAACCACTGGCTGAAAAATAGGACAGGAAACACAACCCAGTCATGTTCCTTGTTTTTTGCTGCATTTGCTGCAAGGCCATGTCTTGGAACAGGTTGTATGTTTTGGGTTAAATTAAGTTTTAGTCATGGCCAAATACAACTTATTTTCAGTTTTTACTCACAGTAGGATTGATGTGTGTAGAAGGCTGAGTCAAGCATTCAGCTGTTTTTCCAAGAGTATCTGTCATGATAATTAATGACTTTTCTCCCCCTCCATTATGCAATTACTTCCACAATTCAGTTTCCCCTGGGATTATCAATAGTGCTTTCTACCCTCATGGCTTTCAACAGTAATGATTAATTGATACAGACTTTATGCAATCCTGGCTTCTGGACACTTGCAGTTTTTAGTCCCTTAGCAACTGGAGACCAGAGCCTTGCTTAAGCATTTTTTTTTTGTTTGTTTTTTTTTACTTTGAATTTTACTGTTTTGTGGCAGTTATGCCTCAAGATCTTCAGAATTCAACCTAGCAAAACAAAGAAAGGATGGCTGTACTTAAAAGAAACGAACTGGTACAGACCGTATGTTTGCCAATAATGCAAGATGCTAGATTTCTTGGCTGGAAAAATAAGTGTGGTCCAGTTCTTGGAGAGAAGAGGTAGAAGTCAGCTAAGTCCTGAAGTTAAGTAAGCTCAGGTAAGTGGTAGGCAACTTTAGGCCCAGGCTGGCTCAGATTCCTCTAGTTTAAGTTAAGCTTATTTTTCTTTCATATAGTTTTAAAACACTATAAAAGTTGACAGGATTCACTTAATTCTGCTCTGTTAAAGAGAACTGTCAGCTAAGATGGAAACCAATGTGACACAACTGTAAAGATACCTTTACATCTTTGTAACTGGAGAGAGAGCAACCTCATTTTTAAACCTTTTTTAAACCAAGGCTGAGTTACTGCCAAACCAGAGACTGACCAGCAGCATCTGTTCTGTTGCCTTTCAGCTGTTCTTCCAAATGTTAGATCACTTAATTTTTTACCAGTGGTGAGAGGGCAGGATGCAGATCTGTGTGGAAGAGGCAAGATATGACAAATAGTGCACCCCATCATCACCTCTCCCTTCTTCATGTGGGTAAGCAACTGAGACAGCTTGAGCTGCTCCAGGTGGCTGGAAGGAGTCACTGCAGCACTGTGTTTTTGGGAGAGATGGTTGCTGCTCTTCACAGGAGTACAGCCACTGTACAGCAGAGGCCGTATATATGTGGCTTAATAGATTTAAGCTGGAAGGATGTTAAGTAGCTGCTGTGGCTGCATTACAGCACCTTCATGAGGTCAGCAGATTTGCATTCTGGAGTTTGCACAACTGAATTCAAAACTAGGACTATAAGCAACATGTTACCAAGTTAATCAACAAAACTGACACAACACCCTTAACACAAAACTTGAATTAACTTTATTTTCCCCTATAGTCAACAACTGGTCTGCACTGAGCTTTAAAGCAACAAAATAAAATGAAATCTCCAAACGCCAGGGGGCCAGAAATCCAGATTTAATTACCTTTGTGAAAATGTTCCAGCTGTAGAATTGGTCTGTATAAACCACTGGAGTAAAAAATGAGTTCATAAATCAAAAAAATATTCTACACCTTGGTAAAGAAGTCAGCAGTAACATTCTCACAGAACACTGTAAATTTATATTTTCTTCATGAAAGGTACATACTATTCTGCATTTTACATCAAGTGACTGATGCAAGTTTTGTTTCTATAAAAAGTTACAATCTGTGGCAGGAAAACAAACAGCAAAACCCTTTCATTTTAATTAAAGAAAAATTTCAAGTCTCTATAAAGTTTTCCTGTAGCTGGAAAGTGAACACGTTCAGTCTCCATTTATATTTAGTGCATTTCATCTGACAGTTTTCACCAATTAAAAAAAACAAACAAAAACAAAACCCCAACCAAAAAAATACAGTATAAAAGACAGACAAAGCAAATAGCACTATAGCAGGAATTTCTTCAATTGATTTAAGCACTCTAAATAAAAATTCAAACAGATCTCCAGAAAAACTTGAGGCAATGAAGGGGGAAGAGGTCTGCAGATCCTCATATGCCACAGAAAAGGGGTTGTATACCTGTCAACCTTTCTTTTCCCTTCCCCATTACACAGACTATGCTTGTTTTACCAATGTAAACATTTTCCTAGACCAGGTTTAATTTCTGTTGTGAAGCACCAGCCATGACATGGTGCTCAGTGAGCTGCGTGTCACTATCGCATTCATTACTGTCGTTTCAGATTTTTCGGAAGGATACAAATTTAGCCCTTGTAGCTACAGTGTGTGAGATTTGCCTTGTCTACCTTAAGAAGTGATGGTGTAAGGCAGTGATACTGCAATCCCACGTTAAACAAAAGCAGCCTGGCCAATTGAAACTAGCATCCAACTGTCAGCTCTGGTGAAAACTGCAGCTTTGCTGCTCACGCTCCAGCTCAAACCCAGCCTGCAGTAACAGTAAAAGGATATTGAAAGAAACCAGTGAAAAGTAATCATCGGAGCAACTAGTTTTGAAAGTCTGATTTTGGAGAGCTCTGCTTCCTCTTAATTGTTGAAAAGTTTTAGATTTCACCATTCCGGTTCACGTACTGCTGCTACTCAGCTGAACAGTGTTTTCCAAAAAAGATTGACAAGTATGCATGTGCCAAGGACCAAATTACAGGGTTCTTTGGTAAAGTCAGTCCAAATTCTCAATAGATCTGAAGGGTAATATGTACCAATAAAGAAACTGCTGCTAGCCTTGGATAGCAGCTCTGTCTGCTTCACATTACAAATCTAAAACAGCTGTTCTCAATAAGCCAATATTTTTAATCAGACATTGCCTGAAAATTTTGTACAATAATCTGGACCAATGATGGTTCTGTACCCTCATGTTGCTGTGAAACATGACTTGAGCTAAAGGCAAAGACTGGTTATCTCAAGGACAACTGCTTCGTATTAGCAATCAGAACAGTGTATTTAAACTGTCTTCCTGTTGGGTCTCTTGCCTTTCTTTAAAATTAGTTTATTCTTAATGTAGCCACGCTTCCTTTTGGAGGTCTAAAAAGAAAACAGAATAAAATGTATTAGTTAATGATTTAGTTTTGACCACGGTTTAATGCTGTGCATTTCAGTGCCTGATCTTTAGACTGATTTTAAAGAGCTTGGATGGTAAACCCTCAATTAGGTATATTATCCTGTTGTTATTTTTAAAATGGGGATTGTTAATTCATGCCCGGCCTTAGCTTTTTGCAAGCCCTGTGTACCAGATCTATAGAAGTGTTTTCAAAGCTTGTGCTGAGACAGAAATTAATAATTAGCCAACACGATAAAGCTCTAATACACCCAAAAAGCAGAGTGTTAGTTGTGTTTGGAAAAACCTTCTTGCATCTTTTGTAGTATTTGATTCTCTTAGAACTTAACACGATTACAGGCAGAAATACTTACGCAAAGCAGCATTTTTCAAAAGTAAGAGAAAACTGAATAATGACATTTTAGTTTCTAATCCTCTGCCACTGGTCTGTAGGCTACTTAGTGCTTTCATGTGTCTTTATCAGCATATTTTAGATATTTTATTAAGGTAGTAATGGGGGGAAGCATTAATGTCAGTGTTAGGTAACACTTCTAAGTTCTATAAATAGAGTTAGTTTGTGGCAGGTGGAATTGTACATTCAACATGCCTTGTGCACATTAGACAGGTAGGCAGCTCCCACACTTGCTGCACTTGGCTGTGCTTACCAGTAGGCTCTATTATGTCAATTCATTAAAACTTTTATTTTTAATAACAACAGCAGCACTATTACTATAAAGTGAGACAGATACAACATGTCTGATATTGCATGAGAGTTATCTCTGAGCTTGAACACTGTTATTCCTAACATGGAAGAGAGGAGATTCCCAGTACTGAATTTCCAGTAAAGAAGCAATTGCTGAAAACCTGTGGCTACTACAGAGTCCTCAACGCATGTAAGTCGCAGTTTAAACATTCGCCCCCCGTTCTTTGGTGGTTCTCAGTTTTCTTAGTGGGAAGTAGAGCCAGTTTGTACTGCAAGACTTGGTGACAGATCAGAATTTGCACCATCTTGTATCCTGGCTTTAGACAGAGAACCAACATGTACATAAGTGGGGTCAATGTGTCTGTCATGAGTAAATATAGCCTTGCTTGTCACTTAAGATCAAAATTTACATGGTAAGTGTATGACAGGCACAGTAAAGCTTGTAATTCCCTTTCACGGCAAGCCTAGCTTCAGAGGCAACTCCCAAACACCTTATTGTATGACCTTCCACTAAAAATTACAGAACCACACACCTTTACCCTCTAACATTCTTTACCTGTATTTCCAAGACAGTGTAAGTTTACAGCCTGCACTAACTTAGTTTGTTACACATTTGGTTCTGACAAGATTCTGGAATTCCTTTTGCAACATGTATTTGAGTATATAAAGATGTTGTGGAGGAGAGGGCTGGCCTCCTAGGAGTCT